CCTCCCTTTCACACAAGTCTTCGAGGATTCTCTATGGTGTTTGTGTGAAGCCTTTCCCTATCAAACCATTTATACAATGAAAACTCTGAAGAGAGTTTCCCAAAACCATGGCCTCCTCTCTGTCTGCCATGCAGTATTCATGCACTGGCATGTTCAATGAGAGACATCTCTTACGACTACAATCCACAGTTCAGCCAACTACACTCAACTTGAAACAGTGTGAGTTACAGACATAAAAGCCATTACGTTTCAGCAAACGCTCTGACAACGACGACCTGTCTTTATTTTATTTTTTTTTCTCCTTTCAGCGGAGTCAAAAGGCGGCAGAGATGGCAGTCAGAGAAAGAGTGAAACGAGATGTAATGAGGATTGAGAGAGCAGTACAAAAAAACTAGAACAATGCAGAAACAAAGAAATAAAAGGGAGTTAGTGGTAGTTTTTTTTTGTGGTTGTAGTGTGACTACTCGTGTCTGGGAGGCTGCGTCTGATCGTCATTGCTGTTAATGAGAAAAGCTCAACATGCATGGAGGGCAAGCCTCATTGTTCCCTTTCCACACGAGTGGTTTTTACGTCGTCTGACATCCCATCTAGGCAGCAAAGGACCCAGAGAGCTCACCAGGCACTGGAACTTTGATTAGTCACTTGATTTTCATATGCACGCCATCCAAAATCTGGTTTCACTTAGCATTTTTTGCATGCTGTGAAATAAAAAAAAAGAGAGAGAGAGAAGCTCACCTACGCACCAGACGCGCACAACCTGTCAGAAAGCTGCCACATTAGCTATCGCTCAGATCTGATCACTTTCACACCATGCTTACCAGAACACCACCTGGGCATGGCATGTGCCGGCCAGCGCGGTGAAATGCACGGTCTCACTCTCTCACTCTCAGGCAGACAGATTCACAGCCAGGCAGACACACCAACTAGTGCCAAAACACCAGACCCGCACCACCTGTCATTCATCTTACAAAAAGCATCACACGTACAAAAGTCTCCCACCAACTCTGCGACTACATAGTTACCTGCGCGCATACAAACTGACTCAGACAGTAGTTGTAAATCTTTTATTTTTCCTGAGTGTGCATGGAGTGTAAAGAGAGTTGTTTTCTCAGAATGCACTGATAAATTCACTAAAACGAGAACTGTTGGCGTGAAATTACGATAAATTGACTTCTGTAATCAGTTAAAAATTCTGATCGTAGTGATCATACGCGTTCAGGGACACTCCCACACAAGCAGCATCCTCCCTAGCCGAACAGCATATTCTCCACTACTGCCAGTGTCCATGGCCACTGCTCACCAAACATGGCATCTGTCTGGCATATGGGAGCTCTGTAGGGTCATCCAGACAAGCACGCTGTCACCCGCTGCCTTCTGCCACCCAAACCCCCTCCAAACACGGCATCTTCTTTTCCTTGTCCCCTCATTCATTATCCTCCTTGTGTTGTTTCATAGTCTCCTCCTCTTCCATATAATCAGCTTTAAGCGTCTTCCTTGTTGATTTCTCTGCTTTGCTGGAACTTTTTTTTTTCTTCCTGACAATCCAGTATCATACCCCCTCCGTATTTAACGTTGCACTTTCCTTTTGCCACTTAAAGTCATCTCCAGATGAGTCTAGCTTCTGTTTGTCTCGCAAATGAGCCATTATGCCTCCCTACTGGAGCCAATAGAAAAGCTATGAAAGAAAGATCCGGGACAGGATACGTGGAGCTGTTCAGAATCCAAAGGCAGTCATCATCGGTGTTCAGCTGCACACTGATTGGCTGTTGTGTTACACTGAGCTGAAGTGAGCAGAACAGTGAAAGATGAGGGCGAGCCAGGAAAGGCACCCCCCCGACCAGAGTACAAAGAGGCTCACCGCGATAGTTCCAATATGGCAGCGTATCATCTGTGCATATTGTGCTGTAGTGCTCTTGACTTAGCATCTCTCACAGAATGCTTTGCATTTGGATGCCGGCTCTCAGCTGCATAGAGTTTGGCAAAAGTGAAATCTGGATATATTTTCCTTTTGTTGAGCTTGGGTCTATATTCCTAGTTTGCCATTTTTCTCTCAAATGTAATTTTTCTCTTTTCTGTTCAAATATTGTTGGATCCACTTGGGCAGATATGAAACCCCTCTTCCAAATAATTTTAGTCTCCCCTTAGCTTTCCAAGAGCAGCACTAGCAAAGACAGCTAAAACTGCTACAGGCACTGATAGCTCCCCTCCAAAGCCCAAATGGCATCACTGGCCTTTTGTGCGTCCGAGAAATATCGTCGGCTGGGTGTTCCATATGGTGACATCTGCCTGATTGGACCAAGATGCCATATCCCAACGCCTTCCAAAAAATCTCTCCTTTAGTTGGCTTTGATGGATGACTCGTGCAGCCACTGCACTTTCCCCAGCCACACACTCACACGTGCACCGCCTTAGACAGAGTGGCTGTACGATCCAGCTGCAGGTCTGTTATCTTGGCGGTGCCATGTGCAGCGTAGCTATCAAATCAACCTATGTGCACAAGCTAGCTAAGCAATTAAACTCCAGAGCCCCATCTACCCTCGACAGTTTTTAACATCTGGCATCCTTGTTTCTGGTGTGTGTGTGTGTGTCTGTCTGAGTGTGAAAGCCAGCTCATCTGCTACTATAAAAGGATACAAAACATGGTGCACAGTTGAATCCATTGCAAGAACACAATGATTCTTCTTTCAAGTGACTTTCTTTGTCTTATTTTTGACATGCTAATATTTCCTGTGAAGTATGACCTGCTAATCCAAATCCAGCAAACTATAAACACATTCAAATGCACACGGATTTTATGCACAACTTACAGAACTATACTTCCCTCATTCACAGGTAGGATGTGAGTGGTGTGGGTGGACAGGGTTAAACATGGTGGATGTGAGGTGAACTGTTAGTGAAGGCCTTGGGTTTTGTCTCTGTGTAGAGTTTTCACTTTGTATCCACTCCAGCTCCAACTCCACTCAGAGGGTCTGCTGCTTGAGCTGTCCAAGGTCCATACATCCACTTACATTGTACCTATCTAGCCAAACACTGCCTCACTCAACACTCTGTCTCTGCACCCCCCCACCACACACACACACACCCTGCCCTATGACTCATCATTGGTTCATTCAACGAGGCTAAATGGCTGTTCTAGCAGAAGCAGTCAATATGCTCAACACTGCACATTGGCTCCGTCCTCTCTCTTCCTCCAACTCTTTTATATCCTCTCTGTACTCACTATGTCCATATTATGTATGCTTTATGTAAAGCTAAACAAATGACTGCATTTTACTGAACAAATATTATTTAGAGAATTGAATGCTTCCTAGAGTGCAGATAACCCTGATGTTTATGAAAATAGCTTGTGTGTGTGTATCACATCTGTATACAGGTGGCAGGTGGATTTGGGGGCAGCATACCTTAAATAAGAATAAAAGACTCCTTCACTTGTGTATATATATTCATACAAAGTCCCTTTATCAGAAACTTGAAGAGAAAGTTTGGACTAAAATGTATGAAATAAGACCACATTCCATGAGATGTGTGTGGGTTTAGTTACTGGCCAACATGGCGACAACCTAATGGACGTGCACAATTGTGAAATGTTAAATGAGTGCCTATACATTACACAATTACATATATTATGTTGTCACTCAGGAAAATGTGTAATAGCTTTATAGTTCTGTGCTTTTAGATATTCTGCTTATAGAGATTAATAAGGAGATATAATAAGGATTAAAAAAAAATACTGAGTAACAATAGCACAAGTAGAAAGAGTCAAAGTTAGAAAACTGATTCTGTGATGTCAATTGTATAGTACCATCTACTTAAAGTATGCTAACATTAGCCTCTGTAAGCTACTGGTCATATCAGAACTGAAAAATAAGAATTTGCAACTATTTTGCGAATCGATAAATATTTTAAGTCATTTTTCAAGCAAAAAACACTCACTGGCACCAGCTTTCCAAATTTGAGCATTTGCTGCTTTTCTTTGTTTAATATAATTGCTTATTGATCTTGGTTGGGTTTTGTCTGTTAAAAAAAAAAACAAGGTAGTTGGTGTGTCACCATGGACTGAGGGAGATTGGGAGGGGCATTTTTCCTTAATTTGGGTCATTTTTTAGGCCAAATGATTAATTGATTTAATCAAGGGAGTAATCTGTAGATTAATCCATGATGAAAATAATCATTAGTTGGAGTGCTATATCAGACCATGTGAAGCTGTACCAAATTGAGCAAAGGGTACATTTCATTGCTTTGAAATCAACTTTTCATTTATAATAGGAAGAGTGTATTATTTGTTCTTTCAGAAGTTACATACGATACTACTGGCAGACATCAGAATACTTTCTATGGAAGACTATTTGACAAACGTGCAACCTGTTTACTACTGTACAATAGAGCTCTTTTTTTCCATGAAACACAGGTGGAACTTGGGGCTCACCCCCTTTTAGCTAGTAGCTCCCTTAAGGCGTGCTGTGAATGCACTTGATTATAAATCGCTGCTACAAACCAGCAAGGTGTTGGCCCGAGGCCAGCAGGCACAAGGGGGTATGAGAGCCTCTCATCTCGAGTGGCTTTGCTAGTGTGAGGTGTAGCATGAAGCGCGAAGTGATGCCCTGCACACGGCGGATAAAGCAATGACCCCAACAGTGAGCCATAATGTGGCGTTCTGCGCTCCGTATGCTCTCTTCACATGTTAGTGCGTTCCACATCCCTTGCAGTGACATAACCACTCTGTGTCTATGTGTGTTATATTGCTCCTGTTGATCTTCAGGGAACACTGTTCCTTACAATCCAGTGTTGCTAGGAGGGGGAGAGGAGGACCAAGTGCCCTTCTGAAAAAGATTTAACTATTAAAAAAAAGAAAACTTGTGAATTTCCATGTAAGCAGGTAAAAGAAATGTCTTCAGGGGCAGAGGAGGTTGAAAGGATGCATTGATTCACCTTAATCCTTTAAAATCCCACGTGTGATGCAGTGATGTGATATGCTAATGACTCTTTTCTTTCTGCCCTAGGTGACAGAGTACCTGAACAGTCAAGAATCTGCTAAGAGTGCCAGGGTAAGTCACTTCATCCAAACCCATACGTCGTTCCCTCTCTTTTCATCACCTCCTCTGTCGCCTCCTCCTTATGTGTGTGTGGTTTGCCTGCCTCTCAGTAAGAAATCTAATATTGCCAAAACAAGAATACATTACAACACTAATTACTTTCCTACATCAACTACCAGGGAGAAAGTGTCTTTTCTCTTTGCTTCTCTCTCTCTATCGCTCTCTCAAGATGTGACACATTACATTGGCAGTCACCATTGTCCCATATGGATTGCTGCCCACAGTCTGTGCAGGTCCATACTGTGAAAATGGGGGTGGGGATGTGTGCAAATGTGTACAGTGGGGATAGAAAGAGAGAACGGGAAAAATATGGAAAATAAACACACACTAGTCACAGAGCTTTGACACAACAGCGTTCTTTGTTTGAGCCTAGTAAACTGTCTGGGCAGTCAGAGTGAAACTGGCAGCATAATAATGGAATAGAGCATCGGAAGTTTAATATTAAGTACGTGAAAGTTCTTCTAAAAACTATTAAACACATGAAAGAGCTGCACCTTTTACACTGAGTAAAATGTTTCTTCATTGGTCGAATGAGAGTGTCGATCACCATCCTGCTGCCGAACATACCGGTGTCCCCAACAAATCTCCCATTTACTGCTGTTTGAGTAACGTGCTGTAAAGTACAGGGAAATTATTTTGCCTTTTTTTAAAATAAAACGACATGTTTGTATTTTTTAAGATATTCTTTAAGAAATAATAATAGACGTCATTGTCTTATAGCCTGAGCTAAAGACTAAAGTGTCAGAGCCCTGTTGGCAAAAGCTGGATAACGTTTTTATCGTTGACAGGAAAGTGTTTGTTCATATTTGTAGTGCCTTTCATAAGAACCCTGCCAACTTGCACAGACACTAAGATCCTGTTTTGTTTTTACCCATGTAAATGTCAAGCAAGATGGCTCAAAATCCTAGAGGAAGCCGTCCCTCCTGTGCTCTTCTATTTACCCGCTAGTTATGCAGCATGCTCAGACAATGAGCCAGTCACCGGTGGAATTGACTCCAATCACAATTGGAGTTACTACCATGTTTTCAGGGTGTCGAGGAAAAGGAGAAAAAAGGCAGCGAAGTGAGAGACGGGAAATGGCAATACGTACAAATGGCTTCATTCATTCATTCATCCTAATAACTAGTGCTAATTAGCACAGTCGCTAATTAGCTATGAATCACGGCATTAACAGCTGAGCGTGCATGCTTCTGAGTGCCAGAAAAAGAAACATTCCACACAGACCCTCGTACATACACGCACACTAACACCCCTGAGACTGCACAATTTCTATCACATTTAAATAACTAATACCACACTGGATGCCGCTCCAAACTACACACACACACACACACACACTCTTTGCCAACAGCATTGTAATAAAGGCGACATTTAGCTAGAAAACGCATGTGATGGTTTATGAGGCGATGCGGGAATGTGAATGTAATGGAATAGGAGAAGTAATAGTCTGGGTGGTATTTGAGGCATTGTGGGCCTCCAGCTTGGATGGGCAAGCACAAAGAGTTGGATTAAATGGTGATGATGACGATGATGCAGGCGCCTTCGCACCCGGCTGTAAAAACAGTGATCTATCTCTTTCTTTCTCTTTCTCTTTCTTTTTCTCTTTTTCTTTCTCTCTCTCTCTCTCTCTCTCAGCATTGCATTGTGGCTTTCTGTCCCCCTCCCACCACTCTCCCCTTTTTTTCTCTTGACCATTTAACGTTAATGTGCTACAGAGGTTATTGAAGACCCATTCAAAGCAATTGGGAACATAACCGCATTTTATGGTTATTTGTTTCATTATGGTCAATAAAATCTGTCTCTGTCTTCTCCACCAGCTCAACATTTGGCGCTACGGAGATTTCCGCGCTGACGATGCCGACGAGTTCGGTTACAGGCGTTAAAAAAAAAAAATGGCAAAACACAAAACCGACCATCCAATCAACACCATTCCAAAGACCAACATGGACGGCGAGTGACGTTTTGGACAGAAGACAAAATAAATAAATGACAAAAAAACTAAACGACAAGCATTGACTCACTTTTTTTTATTTGATATTTCATCCCTATGGTCCTGACTTTTCTTCTCCAGCTAACTCCTGTAGCTCCAAATAAAGCATGCAATGCTAAAATAAAAAATAAAAAAGTAATCATGTGAGAATCACTTTCTATTCATCCTTTACTTTCCCAATGGGCTACTGCCAGCTCAAGCAGCCTGCACTATTGCCAATCTGTGTTATTTGCCATGTTACCTTTTCAGCAGACTTCCTGTGTGAATGAAAATAATTCTGATACTTACTTGCGTATGTGTTTCAGCCAATCATGTTCTCTTTGCTCTCTTATGCTCTAGCCCAATCCCTGCTTTCCTCTGTACAGGAAGGGACCGGGTGTTTGGGGGAGACGCTTGATTTTTGAAAAACAAATGCTTCCCTAATAAATTTCATGTAAATGTGAGGATATGTTGAAAAGTGTAAATGGATTTATTTTAGAGAAATACTGTAGGTGGAGCCACACAGACAAAAAAAAGGATGAGTTTATTTTTGTCTTCAATGTATATCTGTGTGATGATGACATTTGCAGATGTTTTTGTGGGGAGTGTTTTGTCGTTTATTCACTGTCACACTTTTATGACCAGTAAACATTGATGCCATCACGTGGCATTTTATCATCTCTCTATCTCCTTCTGTAAAGTTTACATTCTAATAATGGTTATGATCCTGTCTTGGGCAGTCTCTTCTCTTTCTGTCTCTGTATGCCATAGCAGAAACAGTGTTTGAATTTGTTTCCACATAATGGACCTTTGCATTCTATTAAAAATCTGCTGAATAAAAATAAGCAAACTAAAAGTGTTTTGTTTTCATTTTACAATTAAAATTTTTTTCTCTCTCTCAAATGAATAGACGGTCTTTGGTTCAGGGATCGACAGTGAGGTCTACAAGTTCTACTCAGAATTTGAGTTTGGATGTTTAATTTTAATAATTAATTTGTGCCAAAGTAGAAAGGTACTTTTAGGCACATAAAAGGTTGTGTTACCTGTAAAACAAAAACACTTTGGCGAAGGCCTCTGACTAAAAGCTTGGCAGTTATTTTAATGAATTTGAAATTAGCAATGCAGATAATATTTAGAAGCCCAGAATCAGTTTGAACTAGTTTAACCTCCACCTCATGAGTTTGCAGTAGTTCTTATCTATTACTACCAAATACGAGTGTAAAATAGACTGTTTTCGCTTACACTTCATGTAAGTTGTGCAGAAGGGCAGCTGCTGAATTTACATGAGGTGAAACTTGTTTTTTCCAGGGGCTGGTTTTAAGGAGTTGTGTTGGTGTGATCTCAATGCTAGGAAACAAAATTAAACCTAACTCTCCGATGGGATCGACCAAAAGGTAATGTTTCAGTTTTCTTTTCAACTTGTCTACACTGCATGAACTAATTTATCTGCTAGTTTGGCAAATATTTGCTGATATGCTGAGATCCCCAGACAAACCTCTACAGTGTATTCCCTACAGTAAGTTATTTGAATATGCAAAGAAACAATCATTGACAATTTATGAACTCTACACGGTCAACATTTTTTAAGTCTAAAGTGGATTATGGGGGTGGATATGAGCATATTTTGTTGGCTGCACTTCTTTGCTGAAAGCAGACTTGAATTTGATGAGGATGTATTGTAACATTACTTGGTGGTTGTGAACTAAGGTTGGGTTTGCTTAGTGATTTTTTTTTTTGTGATTTTTCATATTTGTTCAGCTGGCATGCATTTAAATATATTGTAGTGCTAGTTTTTGATTTGTTTTCTGGGTCACAGTCTTTGCAGCTATATCCACCATGGTATGGTTAAAAAAAAAAAAAAAACGGCTGTAACGAAGTGCTCATAAACATTTAATATCGCCTGCCATATAAATAAATGCTCCATTCCACATTAAATGACTGTTAAACATAGAGCAACTGTGCTTTGCCAAATCTGACATAAAGCACATCGTTGCCTGCTCGTAACATCACTTGTATAGTTTAAAGCTTACTTCATTAAAAAACAGTATATGCTTGGTTGAACCCAAAGAGGAGACAGCCATGACAGAATACTGATATATACTGCAGTGTTCTTACGTTCAGATTCTGTGAGTTACTTTTGACATGAATGACATTACATTGGATGGCAGATGTTTTAAAAACACAGTGGACATCTATTGGTTCGTAAGTATGTTGAATGACAGCTCAGTGTGTGAGGCATCCTCGGAGACTATCTCCAAAAATAGATCTAAAAAAAATAGCACACACCAAACTAGATCCGCTGCTTTACAATTAAACATTTTAACTACATGATAAAACATTCCAGAGAGAGTTCACAATTTAAATACACATTAGAAAACACCAAATTATGCACCATATGGACAAACATCAGCTGCTGATGTAGTACAATAAAAATGCTCATCGTTGCAAAATATAGCACTCCTGTGACTGTCTCTTTTACGGTAAAAAGTAATATCAGTTCCTTTTCCTCTCAACTTGTGAACAAGCATCAATGTCAGTGTGTGACTGACAGGCTGAGCCCCCGAATTTACATTTACAATCAGGAAACCAAAGAAAATATAAAACACATTTCTCTTTTTCTGGCTGCTGAGTTTTAACCCAAAGAATAACAAGAGATGTGATTTACAGAGCAGATTTGTATACTGTAGCAGAATATTTAACAAGCAATTTAATTTCACTTTAATGTGAAAAACAACTGCAGTGGGAACAAAGAGGCGCCTGGTTGTTTTCCTCTTGAAATTAAACCCTCTGAAGGAGTGACCAGAGGTTGTTATTGCAAACTGCCTTGAAAGAGGGACGGCAAGATTAAAAAAAAATGTACCTACTAAAATTCTAATTCAGATTTACAAAACAAAAAACAAAAAAAAAACAGCTTCAGTCTGGAGGACATGTTTTTCAATTAGACATGGGAGGAGTACTTTTGTTTTCTCATGATTTTCTCTGTGGTTGATAGATGACACTCAGTAGGTTTTTCATGATCCCGGGGAGAACCGAGGGCATAAATTACTATTCATGACTGAGCTTTGTGTTGTATGTTATGAAGCTCATGCTGAGGTAAAAGCAGGTGTCATTAAATGATTCAAAATTGATGTGTGGACATTAAAGTCAAACAGGATAAGAGAGAAAAAAAAGAAACTTTTGCCAACATCCCTCCCCACTGGATGCCAGTCTTAATTCCACACATGCCACAGAGCAGTCAGGAGCCACCAAATCAAAGATGGCCCGAGCAATTTATCACCATTGTTCATGTCCAATTACCAGAGGTTGGGATGAGGAATATGCTCTAAGGGCAATTAAGAATCCTGTCTGTCCTGTCACTTGACTCATGGACTGGGTGAGACGACTTTGTCTTATAGATCCATGTCCTTTCTCTGTCTTTTTTTGTCATAAACTATCCATCGTCTCTCCACCCTCCTCCCCCTATCTCTCCCTATTTGCCTCATTGCCTTAACTCCCTGAGCTGATGAGATACTGGGCCTACTTTACTAAAGGGAAAAAAAGGAAAGGGAAAAGAAAGCGGTCATGGGAGATATGAAAAGTGGTTGTCTGTTTGAGTTGTAAGCAAAGCCTTCTGGTTTCATCTCCTCTCTGTTTGTAAAGCTGTCATAGTTGAAACAACGCCCAGCAGACGAAACACGCAGATTACAGAGAGCTGTTGTCAGCAAATTGTTTGCTTAGAAATGTCGGTTATTCGGTGCGTTCCACAGCGTCGGAGACAGCCAAATCAAAACTGTGTCAACAGCAATTAAACCATGAAATGTTGCCTTGTTGTGAGGGATTTGTAAGAGAAAAGCACCCATCACCGAGGTCCTTTTTTTTTTCAATTAGTCAAATGGTGTTTTTCTGTGATCCATCCACGTGTTAGCAGTGCAACTACAAGACTGCCAGGGAAAGGGAAAAAAATCAATGATTTGTTGCCAACAAAAAGAAACAGTAGAGCAAATATCTTTATTTCATGAACCTAAGGCATGTTTCCCCTTTGAGGGGTTTTAGGAGGAAATGAAACCCAAACCTGAAAGGAAAGGAAATGCTTTTTAAACACATTTAAGAGGGGTTGATACAAATGAAGGATATATTTCAGCATGGTTTGTGGCTGCTGTATACAGTTTGTGTGCAGTATCAGTGAACGCACCACTGGTCACAGAGATCAGAATTGTCAAGTTGTTGATTACTTCCCCCTTAAACCTTTTTTTTTTTTAAAGGTAAGAAGTTTTTCATGGATCATTTCAAAGCATAACTCCTATTTTAACAGGCTGAGATCAGGCGGTAAAAATGTGTGCTTTTTGGCAGACAAAGTTAATTTTATTCAATTTATAATGTCAATCCACTCTTCTGAATTGTTAATTTATTGTTCATGCCACTTAATTTCATGCCTTCCACCCTTCAAAAAATATTGCATCGCTCCCATGTCTTTCCTTATCTCTCAGTAACACGCGCTCATGTCCTGCCCTCTGTCCTCCAGTGGTGCAGTTTGTGTCCAAAATGTACCTGCTTCAGCCCCTGCAGGATCCCAGTCTCTGTCACACTGGCCAGCGCACATGCAGTCAGCTTTTTCCTGGATCAAATTATAATTTTAGGGATGGAATTCTGTCCGAAAAGGGGGGCTTCTCCCGTCTGTCCGGCAGATATATCTGGCACTTACACAAATATCGCACATT